TGACACATTAAAAGTAATCCATGAAAATTCTTAAAAACAGGCTTGTTGGCAAGACACAAGAACGTTCAGATTGCCCAAGTTCTTCAACAGAGACGTTAACTTGTCATTTACTACAAAGACATGGATGTTACAGAAATTCCTATGTACGTGTCACATTTGAATGTAAAAGGCTTTTTACATGGAAGTTTAAAATGTTAAATTCTGATTTAAGAATCTTGCTGCTATAAACACAGGCTTAATACTTCAACATTAATATGAAAATAGTACTATTTTAAAAACAAGCTATGGACAAGATACAGTTGGTTTGAAATACATTCTTTGACTACAGTGAGTGACTCACTTTCCCCACTTTAATGTTGCTCTTATTACTTGGCAATTATAATGGAAGTGATTAGTCCATCAACTAAAGTTTTTTAGTTTTGTTTTGTGGTGGTTTCTTTTTGCATTTCCCTAGTTACATCTTATTTTTGAAGTCAAAGCCTTGTACATTGATAATTGGCAATATATAGTTGAAATGTAATTTGTACGTAAGCTTTGCGCTCGTTTAGCTACCATTTCTTAATTCCTTTACATGCAAATAGAAAGTACCATCTTTCATGCAACTACGACATTCATGTCTTCCATACAGGGGAATCTTGCTTTGGATTATATACACAGGCCATCTGTAACACTTCCATGTCGTTTGAAAAAGTGTTGGAATAGTTATAGTAACAAAATTAACCATAATTATCCAGTCTGTATTTGACAACCAAAAAGAGAAATACTTCTTTTTCACTGTAACAAACAGTGTATCCAGTGGAAAAAGTCTGACTTGAGCTATCCTTTTGGAAAGGAAGCAAATGTAAGAGAATTTCCTTTAAGCACAGAAGCGAGACAGTGAGGATAAGGACTGCTAACAGGCGATCCATTTGGTTTTAATTTTGGAAGGTACTCTCAAGGCAATCAAACCAGAAGTGAAGACTAAAGAACTATGTATTTCTTTGACCCAAGTCAGTACTAGAATTTACTTTTCAGAAGTTACAACCGTAATAAATTTGCTTATAGGAGGACACAAAAGGAGTATAGCCACAGATTACCAAGAGAATGTGATCACTTCTGACCAACACCTAAAAAATGAGGGAGGAAAGTGGTCAAGGGATTATGATCAACTGTTTCTCGGACATGCCACGAAATTACAAAAAAATTCCCTGCAGACCTGTAATAAAACCCTCCCTCCTATTTGAATGAGTTTCAATTCCCAGGTAAAGATGAATCAACAAAATTAAAATATTGTGCTGTTTTATTGGTGTAAAAATCACACAGTTGCTAGTTCTGATTCTGCAGAGATACATCCATGCAGTTAAACATCTATGATCCCACAGCCAGAAGAAGCCATTAAATAGAATATCTGCTGTTAGTCAGCAATTAATGCAAATTTACATATGAGATCAAAAGGTGTGTATCATACAATATACAACAAATCCTAATACAGTACATCAACCTGAATAGCAGGATACACTCAAGGAACTCTGTTAATAGTGAAGCCTGTCTATATGCCAGAGAAATAAGGCCTGGAAACAAGGTGACAGAAGGTACCCCAGAATTCCTAAGAAGCAAACTGTTCAATTTTTGTTTTTGTTTTTTTTTTTTTCCTGCTGGGAATTCGAAGTTCATAGAGGTATTGACACATTACTTGACAATACAATTTGTTATAGTGAAGACTGGTGGATGTGATCTGTTATTAAAATGTAACGTGAGCAACATGCAATTACAAGTGGTGCTTAGGTAATGTGTAACTAATACGCTGGGGATTTCCACCCAATTCTTTTCACAAAAGGGAGGACTGAAAAAGGCCCGTTTGACAGACTACCAATTGTACCATAAATCTTCATATGCATGCGGCTGGATCGGGATCATGAATGGATAGGACGTGAACACCTGGCAATCTGTGGTTACGTACTCTGGAATGTGTGCAACAAAACCACAAAACCGAATCCAGTTGATATGGCAAACAGCCTGCAAGAACTCTGTCAACCCAGATAAACTGGTTTATTGCAAAGAGGCAGGCTTTCTAGAATTGTGACCGACTTTCCAATTGTGAAAGGCAGCTTGGGAAGTAACATTGGCTGACGACAGGTTACTAGTTTTTCTGGCACAATAAAATAAATGCCATAGTGAAAGAAGAGTTTATGTGCTTAAAGTCAACTGATTAGCAATCCTCTTCTGCAAAGACGTTTCAACGGGAAAAAAGAAACCACTAAAAAGTTCCAGTTGGAAATTTTGGCGACAAACTCTGCAAACTCAAGTCCAACAAAGATCACGGATGCCCACAGGAAATTATGTGAGAGGCAGTGTCACATTCAAGAAAAAAAGTTGTTTTTTTTTCTCCTGTACTGAAATTAAAATACTTAAATACAAAAGTGGACAAACTGACAAAACAGAACCACGACATTTAATGTAGAATAGAGTGCACTGAGCTAGATGCATGGATCTTTAAATAGGCTTTGAAACCAATACCCCTTTCAAAATTAGTAAATTCACAGTTAACGGCAGTAGGCTTAGAGGTGAGAGAAGGGTCGAAGTTGTTCCAGTTGGACTTCCAGGGAGATTCTCTCTTCAAGAACATCCTACAAAAGAAAGATTTTTCTATTGACTGTCCACAGAGAATCAATATTAAAAATTTCTTCAGGTGATGATGAAAACTGGTAAACGTCAGCTTCAGTTCTGAGAACTAATGTCTTTCCTAGAATCTGGAGAACTCTTCCCATAATCTGAGTTGGCTAGCTAGTAATGACTCACAAATGGAAATAAATACTTTGGTCAAACACAAAGCCATTTAGTATTTTTGTTTCTTTCAAATTATCCAAACCCACAAATTTGTAATCAGCTGCAAGCCTAACTACAATGTTTTCCAAAATGAAGTCTAAAACGTTAAAGGGGTAAGCTTTCATCTCAACTAAAGGATTGGAAACTCTGGTTTTGTCCCTTATGTGAATTTTACACACCTTGACTCAAACAGTAACAAGTGAAATTCAGGCTTGATGGTTTTTAAAACAGCCTATCTTCCAGTCTAGGCAGTATCACATGAATTCATGTTTCTGTTTTTCTTTTTTTTTTAATTAACTTGATAATTAAAATTAGGTATTTTAAGGTAAGAAAGATGGCAAGAGAAAGATGTTGAGATGGTGCCTACAGATAAATCCAAAACAGTAATAGCTGACCTAGATAAACAGATGGACTATTGTTGTTCTTATTAAGTTGCAAGTTTTGTATTCCAGTTTATTGTATTTGTTCGAAAATATTTATACTTTTATTAAGATTTTAAAGTTTGTTTTTTCCTTCAGAAGGAAGCAAGCCACTTCAGCTGCTCTTCTCAATACTGCTTTTAGAGTATCTGATGACCACAACAGCTACCTCGAATTATTAATACTAAGTTAAGATTTCTGCTTTTTTATTTTTAGTGTAGCTGGAAGCAAATCAATACACTGAAAAATATGTTTTGCAGTAGTAAAAGTGTCCTCTGTAATTTCACAAAGCTTGTCACAATTAGGTATATTCTGTGATCCACAAACCCAACTAAATACTTTATACCACTATCCTCTACCATGTATATGCCCCTTACTGTGCATCACTAACATCTTGCCCTCTCAGGCGTCTCCTCGACAGACAAAGATGATGGAATTACCTTTAGTTGCTGCTGTAGTTCACTATTCAATCTGGCCAAAACAGTGTTGGTTTCCTTGTTACGTCTGATTGATGCCTGAATTGCCTTCTTGTCTTTCCCCACTGATCTGAGAACACATTAGAGGTACTGTAATAAGTCATTTCATCACTTTGCTGAATATCTCATTTACAGTCCCTCTTTTTTAAGTGAGCAGAATCCTCTTTTCAAATTTTGTTAACTTTTTACACTGTAAATTCTCCCTCTTCTGTCTGGCCCAACTAACCTTGTTTGTTTGCATGGAAGCCACGTATACTTGGTTTCAATGAAACAGCAAGCAGCACATTTTAAAAACTTGTCATAATTTTCTGAAGTCCCAACACACTGTACCACATTCTTTTACCTCAAAGTGACTAACGTAATAAGTCTACTTTAATGCTAGGACACAAAGACTGCACCATTTAGGACTGCTCATACCAACCATTATTTATAATTAAACACTATGTCTTAATACTTCCACCACTTATTTCCAACATACTTGCACAAGTTAAAAAGAGTTCATACTCCAAAGAGCTCTAAAAGGTGTCTCAGTGGTAGAGGCTTTGGGATGATCTTGTTTAAAAAACAAACACCTTTGAAGTGTTAAATAACTATAACTCAAACATACTGAAATTGTTTGCAACTCCTGGAACAGAAAGCGTGTATGCTGTTTAAATGTAAACTTCCCAGTAACAGATGTATTTATACACTTCTTGGGTTACCTAGGAATAGATGGCTGTGAAGCAAGAACAGCAGCTATGACACCTGTTTTCTGTGTATGTTCCTCAGCTTCAGGTCTTAGCTCATCTTCTGATTTTAATCTTCTGCGAATGGGCTTTGGTGGTGGAGCAAGTGGGGTAGTGCCTTTACTCTGCAGAGGAAAACACAGCCTATGAATTCTCCCAAACTGCATTTCACTCGGATGATGATCTGGTAACTTGTTTGTGTGATGTGTTCTTAAAACCAGTTACCGAGCTAACTGAATTTACAACCCATCAGATGTTTTCTGACGGACATCTATCTGCTTTCTCATGTGGTCTGGAAAAAAAACTGAAGTACTAAATCCTAACCCCTGGCGAAAGGGCAGTGAGTTGCTACACACTGACAAAGAACTACGTAAGCAGAAACACCACGGTACAACTGACAACTGCAAATACACAACATCTCAGAGCATGCTTTCCCCCCAGTAATCATATCTGTAAAAAAAAAAAAAAAGAGAGCCTCTGTTAACCAAGTTCTGCATTAAAAGTTTTGCTCTGTTTCAGAAATTTTAACTTACAAATATCTTAATTTTCTGCTATCTCAAGAACAAAGCTAATCAGGAATATTTTCTGATGCAAAAATTCACCGTGCACACGCCTATTTCAAGCACACATTGGACCTAAGAAAACTGGGTTCAAGTGGAAGCGTATCCAGTTGCTGTTGCAAACCAAACCAGATGTACAATTCCATATACATCAGACAACTGCGCTCTCCTTCCAAATGTGCTTTGCATACCGCACTAGTGGGGATATTAGCAGGTGCTTTCTCTTCAACTCTTCCATCTGCTTTGGCAGCTCTAAGAGAACTTGCAGAATCAGAGGGCTTTTCAACCTAAGGGGATAGAAGCTATATTTAGAAAACGACTTCTTCACAAATATTTCATTCGGCAACAGCTGGAATAAATACAAGTATGCTGTGCTTATGATACAGGAATACAGTTAACACCTAAAAGTCCAGTTCAAGTTGTCTTTATAAGCACAAGCTGGAATACAACACCACTAGCTGCTTTGAGGCAAAACCATCTAAAACTATCCTGGTCACAAACACTGTTTGGGCCTGGGAGCAGCTTAAGATGCACGTATGTAAAAAGCTGTAATTCCAGAATCAATAGTCAGACTTGTCTTTTGATACAGACATTAAGATTCCATACAGAATCTAAAATTACTATGAAAAAAAGACGAAATAGTAACTTGAAAGTCCTCTGCTCTCAAGGATTGTATTCCGGATGCTGGAAGACCTCTGAATAAAGGACTTGGGAGTGCTGGTGGATGAGAAGCTCAACATGAGCCGGCACCGTGCACTGGCAGCCCAGAAAGCAAATCGTATCCTGGGCTGTATCAAAAGCAGCGTGGCCAGCAGGTCGAGGGAGGTGATTCTGCCCCTCTGCTCTGCTCTCCTGAGACCCCACCTGGAACACTGTGTTCAGCTCTGGGGTCCTCAACACAAGAAGGACATGGAGCTGCTGGAGCAAGTCCAGAGGAGGCCACGAAGATGATCCGAGGGCTGGAGCACCTCTGCTATGGAGACAGGCTGAGAGAGTTGGGGCTGTTCAGCCTGGAGAAGAGAAAGCTCCAGGGTGATATCACAGCAGCTTTCCAGTACCTAAAGGGGCCTACAGGAAAGCTGGAGAGGGACTTTTTACAAGGGTGTGTAGTGATAGGACAAGGGGCAATGGATTTAAACTGAAAGAGGGGAGATTTAGATTAGATATAAGGAAGAAATTTTTTACATGGAAGGTGGTGAGGCACTGGAACAGGTTGCCCAGAGAAGTTGTGGCTGCCCCATCCCTGGCAGTGTTCAAGGCCAGGTTGGATGAGGCTTTGGACAACCTGGTGTAGTGGAGGGTTTCCCTGCTCATGGTAGGGGAGTTGGAACTAGATGATCTTTGAGGTCCCTTCTGACCCAAACCATTCTATGATTCCATGATTCTATGAATAAAGTCAAATCCCCAACGTTACGAGGCACTGTAAAGTACAAAAGAGGCCATGACCTGATGAACTGCTCCAGCTGTTTCTGTATTGCATTACCACCATCATCTACGTGTTACTGCCAAAGGTTGATCCCTCCAAAGGAACACAATGCAACTGTTCCTCATCCACCTCAACACAAAACAATCAGCAAGCTTAACTCCGGCACTTTTCAGCGGCAGCTCTAGCTAACATGGTCGACTTTGTAAGGAGGTACACGGAGAGTGCTCAAATGGTGCTACGTCACTGACCTTCCTGATTAAGGGAAGAAAGAACACACTGCTGACAGCGGGGAGAACTTTCAAGCACCACAGGTACTCCTGCAACTGAGGATGCAGAAGTGCCCCAGAGAATTTACCATCCGGATGAAGGCTACAAATTATGAAAGTAAAACTTGAAGGAATTCGGGTAATAGCAGTAAGCTATTACGACATTAATAGAAACCAACCCTGAGGCTTCTGAACTTTTAAGTGTTGTGTCTGTAGCAGGAAACAAGGTTTTGTAAACATCTCTAACCATCAGGAGGGCCTGTTGTGATAGGACAAGGGGTAATGGTTTTAAAATAGAGGGAGGTAGATTCAGATTGGATATTAGGAAAAAATTTTTTACCATGAGAGTTGTAGAACACTGGAACAGGTTGCCCAGAGAGGTGGTGGATGCTCCATCCCTGGAGACGTTCAAGGCCAGGTTGGATGAGGCCCTGAGCAACCTGATCTAGTTGGAGATATCGCTGTTCCTTGCAGGGGGGTTGGACTAGATGACCTTTGAAGGTCCCTTCCAGCCCTAACCATTCTATGATTCTATTATAGAAGAATGTCTAAGCTCTACTCACTTTAGCTCTCTGTCCAACACAATTAATGGAATTTTGGCAGATGTTTACGATACTTGACAGTCACCTCATTCATTACCACAGACTACTTTAAAACTTACCAGTAAGTCATTTGGAAGGTTGGCAAGAGTGAGCAAAAGAAAAGTTTTGCTTGTGCCAAGACTTAAATGCGCCAACACAATTATGTTTGTGCACATACATGCTAGTAAGTTCAAAATCTCTTGAATTACAATCAAGAACTGAGAAGAAAAGAATTTCTTCTGCCTAGGTGTTTGGGAATTACTAAATAAGCATTAAGTGTGTAATGTAATTGCTTTCTAGCAATGGATTGGGACATCATAAAAAACCACGGAGTTCAAACAGCAGAAGTAGGTTTTAACAAAGTCTCATAATTGGTGGTGGTATTAAGCAATGGACAAGATCTTCACTTCTGCTCACCTGCAAGACTTCTGAGTGTGTTTCAATTTCATCTTCTTCCTCTTTGTTTACACCTGAAACAGCAAATGCCTCAAACTGGCTGAAGTCTGCAAAATTTGGCTGTTCTGGTATTTGTTGAGGTGAGGTACTGGTATGAGCTATTAGGACTTCAGCATCTACTGGGCGATGCACATGAGGACCTGCACCCTGCAATAAAATAACAAAAATATTTAGTGACGTTGTTCTTAACATAGTTATCTGATGCAAAGAACCTTGCCAAACAACAGTTTGTGACAGAACATTAAAGATTATTTGTCTTTTTAGTGAACAAAGATTTATGTCCTGTCAGTAGGACAAAGTGCCTCTCATCTGAGACCAAAGATGGAGGCACCACAGGACTAGCTAAACACATCAGACAGCAGATATTTCTGCTGTAACAGTCCAGCTTGGCGCTCTCAGGCTTGATACAGGTTTCCAGTCTACTTCCATAGGGAAACAAGCTTATGTGATCATGCTGTATGGAATATGCCTGTCATTTTACCCTCTTTCCTTGCAGATGATTTCTGAACTCATTGACTGACTTCAGTTTCTGGTAACTCAGATTCTAACAAGTAGCTGCTGCTGGAAAACAACTGGAAAGCAATTTTATCTGTCCCATGTCAGATCTACACAGCAGTTGAAGGATTCAGTTGGTTTGAGACAAAGAAAAAACAACTTCTGCAGGATTTGTTTTCCACCAGATCAGCTAACTGAACCGACCTAGACCGACGGCAAAGATCACCAAGTCTATGACAAAAGAAGCGAGATCATTCCTTTTGGGAGCTGGCATGTCACGTAAAACTATACTCTGTGCCAGAGGGATGGAAGAAAAACACTTATTTTGCAAAACTCCAAGAGACTGCTCTCTGTGCTATGGCCTATTAGCTACACAGGGACAGGTAAAGAAACGTGAAAGTGTAACTCTACTCCTTCCTACAACTCAGAGGTTCAGAGTCACTCATTCCTCCTCGATCTCTACTTTAATTCCTTCCCGTGGTTCCACCAGAAGCAATTCTTTATTCAGGAAATGCTAACATTTGGCTATAGTCTAGGTTTTGTCATCATTCACATCCTGGTGGTTTCAAAAAACATGAAGCAAAGCTATTCATTTTAGATTAAGGTAAAATTCAGAGTTAGAGAAAAACGACGCACCGAGTTAGAGTATGATTTTTCAAAAGTGACAACATCACCTGTGAAGGCTGTGGTCTTGGAGGCACTGCAGGGGGATAGGCAACAACTCCAGCCTGTTGCTGTCCTGTAAAAGAGGCATCACATTTGGCCAAGGTTGTTACTCTTCACGTTATAGTGCCATCTGGTTTTTTGAGCTGTCAACATGAAGAAATCCTGCTTTTTGCCTACATAGTAACCTGCCATATTGAGGACCATAACTGTAAAGCCATCTCCTTTCAAATTTGCAAACAGACAAAACAAGGAATCAAAACACGGATCTTGTCCTTTGTTCCAGCTCAAAGTACAGACACAGACGCACTTTTCGCATCTTAAGTCTTTTTTTCTTTTACTCTCATTACGCACTCTTAACATTTTCTCATGCTTTGTGATCCTGAATTGAAAAGTACTGACAAGTCAGAAGTACCGTAAAAACCCTTAAGCAGAGCATCAGAAGCAACCTTTAATAATTTCCTCTGAAGTGAAATACTTAACACTCATCTCTAATGCATCTGGCACCAAAAGAACTCCGGAAACTTTGCTGGCAGATGCAGCTCATTGCATGTGGGTGCACGACCAAACTGTTATTTGCTGACTTCACTTCCCACATTCATCCAAAAGACTACAATGCCAGCATTCAGAATTTACTTCTGAATTACCTGTTTAAGCAAAGTGGAGTACAAATTTTAATACAAAGAGTGACAACATTTTCAACTTTTTCATTCAAAAGAAGTATTTTAAAACCACGCCCTAAATCTTTCTTCAGAGGGAAAAAAAAATGTCTGCTTCAGGAATATATGAACTGAAAAATAATATACACTAGGAACACAATATATCTACCTGGGGTAACTGAAAAGGATCTGTTCATGTCTAAAGATGATGATCGAGAATGAGAAGGATGAGGCCTTGGAGGAGGTGGCGGCGGCGCAGTGTTATCTGGAGATGTTCCTGAATGTGATCTGCAAAACACATAAGCTTCTGTAGTGATTTTAGACAGCTACAACAGAACTAAAATTCAAAAGTTCTTCAAAGTATGCAATTAAAAGTTTGAGAGATGGAAAGAAGTCTGCTTGCCATTGATTTTGGAGACTGCAAAATCAGTTTTAAGCTTCTGGTATTCTTTGATTTCACAATTGTTTTTATATTTCTATTTACTTAAATCTCCATTATCCAAATTATTCTTATATTACCACAAGTAATTTATCTTTAGGAAACCAATAGCTTGACACACATCCCAAAGACAGTTCAGGAATAAAGAATCCTAAATACGGTAATTCCATTCAGATGGTAGTCGCTATAAATTGCAAAGTAAGATGCAGTCAACATCCTGATTAGGTTTTAAATGGGTTCAATGTCATTGAAGAAGAATATTAAGTTCCTATTGGACCTGCCTCCACATATATCGAGCTCAAGGAGTATCTCAGCGTACAAGATAGCTATTTAATTCTGTGCCCGAAATTTTCCAAATCTGTACACTTGGTAGCATGTTCAGAAATTTTAACTCGTTCTTAGGTAGGATCACCATCTAGTGGATACCTGTGGTAAGTTCATTGAGCACGCGTGCAGAAGGGACAGAAGGATGAAGTACTGCACTAAGTACCACTTAAGTGGGATTTATTTCATACAGAATTTTTTTACAGCTTCCATTTAAAAACAGCTTGCAGAAACTTCCTAAACTCATCCAATTTGAGCAAGATAGATTTACTGAATCACTGACATGAATACAGCGACTCTTATCCAACTCACAGTAAGTGATAACATCTTTTCTACGACTTACTTCTGTAACATTTTTCTGTAACAATCGTAAGACATGAAACTAGTAGAAGTAAGAGGTACCTACGTTTCATACAAAACCTGAAATCCCTGGATGTGCAAGTCCAGACAGAAAACTAATTTATTGCAATAAAAAAAAAAATCTGCTTTCTTAGTATAGTCCCTAGGACAATGCTTCTGTAACACTGTGTAACCCTCCAGCTGATGAAATACAAATCTAATTACGCTGACTCCAAGGGTCATCCCTTTATCTAGTCTAGCATAAAAGGCACGAGTAGGATTAAAAGAGGGAAAAAGTGTTTTAAGGACACTCCTGAAGTATCATTATTCGATATAATCTTGTCAGTTTATTTTGAAAATACAGAAAATACTCTGGACTAATGGTAGGGACAATGTCACCTCTACAGATAAAGTTGCAATTGGAGAAGAGGTATCAGTGAAAGGAAGTAAAAGATGAAGTGGGAGAAAAAATTTCCTGAGGGGACAATGCCAGAACAGCCAGATCTGGACAGAAGCTACCTGTGCCATAAAACGGCAAGTCATCTGAAAGCTTCACTCATCTACACAAATTCAGCAAGAGAACCCAATCCAATCCAAAATCAGACATGAAAAGAACATGTTGAAACCATCACGTTGATGGCACAAAACCACACTTACAGGCAGGACAGACAAATTTGCCATTAAGTAACAATGGAGGAAAGAAGTTTTCAAGCTGCTGTCCTGAGACGCAACTGCAAATCTTTCTTTGCTATTGAAGTCACCCTATCTATTTTTGGTTTGAAACTTACCTCTGAAACTGATTGTAAGATGGTTAATGGTGTAGCTCTTTTTTAACCCTATTCAGGCAGATTTAATGGCAACAATTAGCACCAGTTAGCACAGTACAACCTCTTACAGCAAAAGATGCAGTTGTTGGTTATGTGCTCGCATAGCTTCCTCCAATCCCTTTATTTATGTTGAGCCTATGACTGTCCTTCACTTTATAAAAGCCCAATATTAAAAAGAGATCGAGTTACTGCTGTGATTTTCTAATTGACATTTTATTCTTCTTTTGGGCTACAAAGTCACAAGGTCCTTCTCTCCATTAATGCCTAATTGATATTTTTAAAAATGCAAGGAAATTGGTTTCAAGTAACATCATGATCTTCTGAGCCTATGTTTAAGGAGAAAATTTTTATCAAGATTTCTGACTAAAAGTGGAGTTTCATTTGATTGGCCAATCCCAAGCAACTTTTCAGATTACATTATTTTTTGTATTTTCACTTTAGACGTTAACAGAAACGGCGTACATCGTTAATGCATTAGAAAACAGACTGCCTCCAGATTACCAAGTGTGAAAGTTCAGAATCTATTTAGCCATCATTTTACAAGCTAGTTGTCAAGCAACCAGAAGCTCAGAATAGGCTTCTTTAAACATGTTTTATTTATTTTTTTCAGTTGGCACTCTACTGACCGTTGCCGTGTTACGGTGCTTCCGATTTGCTCTGGATCTGAAGTATAGGAGTCTGAACTGCTGTAACCATCTGCTGGTAAAAGAAAGCACAAAGTTTCATATTTGTTCTGCATCATTAATACACCTTCACAGACATATGTAATATATAATCCAAAATAGAGAATTTTTATTTTTAAAAAAGGTTTACGTCCTTGTATTGCTTCCCTGTAAGGTAACATCTGGGCAGGGTTCAAAATCCTTGAGTCTGAATACTTGAAGGATCCAGTAAAAACCAACTCTCCTCACCCAGTACTATGACTTGTTCGTTACTACTGGGATATACTGAAGAATAAACAATGACAATAATGTATTTAAATACAAAATGTAAGTTTATAAGCAATAATTTTTGAACACTTGACATTCTATCATTTCAACAATCTAGCCAATAAGAGTAAGGGACATCCAAGAAAAAAACCCTAGGAGTAGAGTACGCTTGATTTTAGAAGTGCTGAAGGATTGTCATCAACCTCAGAAGTCTGAAAAAGGAAAGGATATGCACAGCACCCAGATGAACTCAGTAGCTTTGCTGCTACTGTAACTCCTGTATATTCAAGGCTGGTAGTCAGCTCTTTTGGACTAAATCTTATTAAAAGCTTTCACCTTTTGGTTAAGGCAACCTCTAAAAATCAAAGATGCTATTACAGCATCACGTAAGACCGTTTCCTTAAGGACACCCTTAACCTTAAAACCTGTGCAAAGCTTGAGGGTTTTTCCCCAGAAATGAGGAGTTTCATCAAAATCACAAGATTTGTGTGGAATGAATGCAGACAGAAAGAGAGATGTCAGATTAATCTATCAGAAGGGATGATTCCAGAGCACTGGGTAAAGCACAATTCAAGGTGGAAAGGCACCAGAGCAATGAGACTCACCTGATTAGTTATCAGTAAAGAGGAAAATTCTGCTCAAGAACATTAAGATTTTTCTGAATTTCCCACTTTAACCTCCTAGGACACTAAAGTTTCCAGAAGTGTTAAGACACACCGACCAGAACCCAGAGATGAGAATCCTGCAGAGATTACTTTCCTGTTCAGCAAGGGGCATTCTTACCTGCTACTTTCCCCCCCTGCCTTAAAACTGCAGGTACATTAACCAAGTGAAATTGGCTCGAGACCTTGATCACGCATGGTCAGCGGAGGAATACATTACTGCACATTCATTTCAGATTAGAAGTTATTTTGCAGATTTAAAGGTGTGTGTCTACTCAATGTGGGCTACACAGAACTAAAAAATAGTACTATATACACATTCTTAAAAAACAAACAAACAAAAAAAACCAGAAATGTGTACCATGAGATGACATTTACATTTTCAAGGATCAAGTGAGAAAATTAGGTTCTAAGCCAAAGTTGGTCATGTGGTAAATGAATTTATCTCTCTCCTATCCAAACATCCCTAGAACTGGGTGTATTTCTCAAGTCATTCAGGATGTAATATAACCTAGTCTAAGAAGAGTTCATATAATCACACCTTTAAAGAGAAAAAAGTAAGCCCTTTCGGACCAAAAAGTTTTACATAATTTCAGTACAAAACTACTGGGTTTACACTGATAAGAAGTATTTCTAAATCAAATTCAAAAGACATTTGGACAGTAAACAATTTTAATGGCTATATAAGGCAAAGGATGGTCACTTTGCAAATGTAGTCTTCATACTGCATCAATATTGGCTAATCCAAACTCATAAGTCTGAACACAATCTTAAATCTAAATACTTTTTTGGTATTTCCAGTAACGTAAGTATGATAGTCAGGTAAAGTTCCTATTATGAAGGATACAGAGACTTTTGCAATGTTATTTTTGTCTTCATGGAAGGTTTCTACTTTTCAATGTTAGTAACACAAGTTAGTCTCTAGCTTGCTTTGTATTTCATTACAAAGAAAGATGATTTAGATTATCCTTCCCTTCTGATTGCAGTATTCACTATCTTGTTTATATCATTCTGCAGGAGTTTAAAATAAAATATTGACAAAATCATCTTAATGACACACTGAAGTAGCATGTTGCTTTAAAGTTAAAACGATTTGGGAAAACAGCAGCTATTTTTGCTGCTCTTTTTTAAAAAAATTTTTAATAATAGTTTCAACACTGTGAGTGTCCAGCCATCAGAATTATTATTGATGAACTTCTCCAGTTATAATTTTCTGAGGTTATAGATCCTCTCTTTTGTTCCAAATCACATAGCTTGCACAGAAAGACAACTGTGCAGTGCCTATGCCGACTGACCTCTTTCTTATCTCATGTCACGGAAAAGTTTGTCCTTGCTTCCTGGCTTCGGTCTGAGCTGGCTGCTATTTACAAACTCATAACTTCCAAACTGAACTACTGTTGATGTAAAGCACGTAAAATAAAGACAAAATGTTAATTTCTCAACATCAAGATGATGCTTATAAACCTCCATTGGTTCTAAGTTCAAATACTATTTTAATATATTGACCAATGAACAGTAGATGATGAGAAGTAAAATAATTAACTTGCATCTTTAATTTTGATCAATAAAAGACAAAGTCTTCTGTACAATGCAGAAAAAGAAGCATGTGAACCTATGAACAAAATATTCTACAAGAAATGTTATTAAGAATACCCATTTATGAAAAACATTCCTAAACAGCGATATATGCAAAAAAACCAACAAAAAACACTTAGAAGAGCACTTGCTTAAATCAGGATTGAGACTCCCTGTTCTCAAATGAATTCTGTCAAAGCTAAACAAAACCAAGCAACTAAAGCAACCACTGAAAAATGAACCCGACCATCTCAAGGAAGCACACCATAGACCTTGTCACTGATTTAGCATAGAAAGTGCTCAGATACACTATTACAGTGTGACACTACAGAGCATTAAGAAATGTAACTACCAAGACAGAAAGTCTGTACAAAAAAATTCCTGTTAGATTTATAGTGTTTTTTTAAGCATCAGAAATTAATTTTCTAGAGTTAGCTTGTATTAAATGCTTTCTTCAGGATTCACGTGAAAGGTGTTAACCATCCAGAGTACTTACAACATTGACAAGAGCCATTTCTTCAGAAAAAGGACAGGCATCCCATGATTCCAGTTTGAGGTACTACAGGGTGGCTTTATGTTACACTTCAATGAGGTTTGTTTTATTTGCTAAATTCTTCCTCTGAGGGAAGAATACTTGGTATCATCACAGTTAGAGGCCCTTTATCAAAGGTTAAGCTATACTCAGATAAGGAAAAGGGAGTGCAGAAGGGCTCTCAGAACTTAGATCCTGCATATACTAGTAGTTTCCACACTAAAAGAGTGTGTTTGCTCATTCTTTCTTTTGCATCAGAAGACTACCTAGCAAAAATAGAACTCAGCTTGAAAAAGACAAAGACAAGCTCAAGGCTTTGCTCGAAAAAAGACTGCCACTGAAACAGAGTTCATAAGGAAAGCAAAACATTCTAATTTACTCCTGTATTACAAACCAATCGAAATACTGTCTTACCAGTGCAAAGGACTCAAAGTAATGAGTCCTTCAAACCTTATTTTTACTGAAGAAAAGTTCCCTGCTTAAAGGAAAAAAAAGAATCTCAGACTCCAGAGATTCATTCAGGTTACATATAATCTGAGACCTCTCTCAACATTAGACAAGTGGACTAATCAAATTAATTTAATGCAAAATATTTTGGACAGAAGATACACTGAAAATCAAAAAATACAAAAATCTATATGTCTATATGCTTCTATTAGAAGAAAATAAACAGTTGAAGAGTTCTACCTTAAAAAGAAATATAGAAGTCTATCATATTTTCTTAGTAGCTAAACCAGATGAGAACTGCCTGAAAATTTTGTGGTCAACAAGTTTTCACTCTTCAGAAAACATGTTGTTACATGGTTCTGAGGAAGCAGAATCAAATGCTACTTAGTCAATTCCACTTTTCACATTTTCCATTTCAATGTCTCATCCTAAGATTAAAACAGAAAATGGGAAGATGGAAAAGAGTTGACAAAAATGATTTTTTTTTGAACACACACAGCAGGAAAACATCTCCAGTGACATAAGCAGAACTTCCTTACTACTTCTAATATATACTTATATCAGAAATGTGTCTATCTTTGTACCAGAAATGTCTCTATTCTTAGGATAAGTTTTTCTCATTTTAGAGTTTCTGCTATCTAGTAAGTTTTCCTTCATTGAACAGTATACCAGATCTACATTTTGTGCAGTGTAAAAAATGAGATCAGAAAGTACTTTGATACTTACTAACTGTATTTCCAGCTGTAAATTTTACAGATGAACTCATTTTATTTTCTTCTGGGAGATCAGGTGGTTTCACAAGTAGTGGGCTAGTAGGATTAGCATGATCTAAATGGAAAAACAAGTCTAAATAAACAAATGTATTCAAACTAGCCTTTACTTCTGGTGCCAAAGCTTTACATTAGTTTTCTGCCCTTATCTGAAGTGCTACACTGAAGGCTAAAATGGTTTTAGTTTGACACTTTTGGTGTATGAATTATTTTAACTTTGGAGTTTTAAATTGTAATAGTGTTATTTCTGTTGCTCAGTGCTAAGAGTTTGGAATCTTTACCTATTTACAAAGCTAAGGAAGTTTAAAAAGACACATGTTGTTGCTACTTGTTTACTCTCACATGCTGAAGACTGTGCATGAGTTACAGGACTTCAGGAAATATTGGTGTATTGGGACACAACTATAAATAGAGACTCCACTGTTCCTCAAGGCAAATTATCAAAAAAAAACAACTGTCAATACTCCCAAACGCTGTCAGGTTTCAAAACTCAGTATTTCTGACTGCAGTAGAACAAGCTTCGTCAATGCAGGCTATGTTCTCCATCTTCAGAGTCTCATTCAGTATTTAATAAGGAAACCTAGGACATTCTCCTGGAAGCCCAAATCAAATCTATATCATGATGCTCCTGAACTACTCTAAGCAATGATCTCCTACAGAAGGTGAAATCCTCCCTGTAGCAAATGGCTGCAACCAAACTCTGCACCTATCTGAGAATCTCATTAATTATGCTGGTTACAACTCCAAATATATTCATCTAAGAAGACAAAAAGTCAGCATGTGTAAGAAAAAAAAAGTCAAATCTAATTGTATAAAACTCCTCATTAGCAAGAGAAAATATCCTACCACTTCCAGTTCTTTTAAGCTCCATTTCCTGCATATGGATTTTGCTTGGAGTCATTCTTATGGGAACTGGGTGCACAATTGCAGTGTCCTGTGGAGGAGATGAGAGTTAAGTAATGTTAATCCAGTACTAAATTGTTCTATTAAGACTCCCTGACATCATACAAAATGCCATTTCTAAAAAAAAAAAATTCATAAAATTATTTTTTTTTCCCCTCACAGTTCCAGGGAATTGAATATATCCATAAAACCAAAGAGCTACAAGCTTAAGTTTCTCTAAGGATTTATTTATCATTGATAATGATTCTAATTACTTTAAAAGGGCACTAGAAATGTTTCTATAGATAACTGCAGTGTAAACAGGACCTGAATTTTACCAGCTTTCCACCATTTTTGTCATACTAGATATCTGTTACTTCAAGTGCATCTTCAAAAGAAAATCAAACCCCACAATTTCACAACTCCACTCCTTGGCTTTACTTATGATGCCTCAGAAAGTAATGGCCTCTTTAAATAGGATGAGTAATTCTCTATAAAATAGGTACTTTGGAGTAGTTTAAGACAAACAGTTTCAGGAGTCTTTAAAATAGTAAGGTCTTCTAAACTTTAGGATAATAAACTCTATGGAACGTATCCCTAGACAGGCATTGACCTTACACTTAGGCATTTTCTTCATAGCTCAGACAAAGGGCTCCATTTTATTGTACTTTATAGACAGCCCTTTCCACTTGGTTTGGAGATCGAGTGTAGATAGCTAAAAAAAAAAATCTCAAAACTTTTATGTTTGTTCACAAGTCACCTAAAAATAAGGACATAGCTGGGAGGTTTTTTTACTGTCATCTATCTTCAGAATACATGAATGCGTGGGACAATGACAGCACAAAAAAAAAATTTCCCAGATTATATTCTGTCACTAGAAATAACAAAAAGTTTCAAAACTACTCTTCTATCAAAAATTTAATCTGTTCTGACTATTCAAGTAGATCAATCTGACCGAGCATAACACACTAATACTTTCTAAAGCCGTTTAAAATGACTTGCAGTACTTTTGTTGCAAATATAAACTTTTAAAACCACTTCCTAGTTGAACTTTTGCTGCGACAGGCTTTTAGCAACACTTATCACCTAAAAATGTATTGCTTTCCCCCAGTCCCATAATGGGATTATCATGCAAAGATCATTCTTGCCGTAGCTACTTCAGTCCTCTGCTGTAATCTAATGTGCAGCTACTACAAAAATCAGGTCTTACATAGTTAAATGGATTTTTATATAATGCATTACTTCAGATCATGAATTTAATTTTACACAAAACAACTTAACATGTTACCAACTTTCACTTAAACAAATTACATCCCCATACCAGGAGATGAATGTACTGTTTTACTCTTTCCACTTATCTTTTACCTCCAAAATAGCTGCTTTTCCAATAAAAAGAGAGAAAAACTGGTCTATGAATTAACTCTTTAGTTAATTATTAACAACTGTTCAAGAAAGCTGTTCTTTCCTGTGGGAAAGCTGGAGTTGATCAATAAATCAGCATCACTGTTGAGACTGCTAAATTAAGAAGTCTGGACACTGCTACTGAAAATTTGCTGTCATTTGTTCTTATTTTCATATGAAAATTAAGACTCTGAAGTATCTATTCCCAAAGCCTGTTACCTTAGCAAGCATCAAAGATGCTCACTATTCTTCAAAACTTTTCTCTACTACAAGCATTGTAAGAAAACAACTCAGGAATGAGCTCTTCCAGTATATTTCTGTATTTCCATTGAATTTTTGTTTATGCACACATACATACACACACACAGCTATACGTGAGTTTTACATCTATCATCACTGTTCTGCTTTTTAGATTATCAACGTATGGGAAAAAATTTAGAACTTCAGATTTCTGTCATTTACTAATAATGTGTAAAAATAAATTGCTATCTTATTGTGGAAACAATACAATGATAGTTCTTTACTGTCAAGCAATTATACACAGTAAGAAACAACTGCAAACTGATTTCCATCATGTTTACTTCATTAAAACACAAAAATACAGTACATTTAAACAAAAAAAGTGTGTCTCAGATGAAAAAGGGCTGGTTTTCACTTTAAATACAACATTTTCATTTGTTTTGAATGTTTACTAAGGGCAATTCTAGGCACAGGGAACAGTGCAGTTTGAATTCTAGCTTCCAGCATCTGGAAATGCTACTTCCACATAAATATCAGTGTTAACTCAGAGTGGAGCGCTGATGTATTTAAAATATATGTATATTTATGTATTGTACCTTTTCAGAAGTGACCTGTTTAATACTAAAAGCAGTTAAATGGGTATTATGTACATCTTTTATGATATAATCAAATGGACACTAACACTGTAATTAATTAAAATAGACACTAACAGTGGAAATTAAATCTGTAAGAAAAGGATGAAAGCAGCAGCTAAATATTGGAAGAAGTTTCAATGCATTTCAGAACTGCTTCAGTGTCACATGCTGTGAAGTTTAAAACCAGCAAAACTTGAAACACTGTAGTGAATTTCTGGCTCCCAAACTTGGCAAGATCTTTAACTGCACAATCCTTCAGAGCACTCCTCACCAAGTAAAGCATTAGAACAGCACTGGTTTAGCTGGAGAAATACTAAAAGCTTTATTAATAAGTAACTTGGTGAAAACATTAGTATGAAATACCACACCCATTAAAGCCTAGTAGTTTTTTCAGTGAGGTTGGCATTGTCAGCTCTAAAGAGTTTGTGCAAATCAAGCTCTGCAACTTGGAAAAAACCAAAACAACACTGAAGATAAAATCGAAACTGGGACTGGTTTATCACTGGGAGTAGCCCTTGCGTTGATTTAAAAACATTTTCAAAAAAAACATTATGTTTAAGTACTTTGTGTAATACAGGTTTTGATAGCAGCGTTGTATTACATCAAAATCAAAGGAAAAAAGCCTTCTTTGTACTCAGATATTAAACATGAGCGCCACTAGAAAATTTATATTCCTAAAATAAGCAAGTAATTAAGAAGCCTGCCACCATTCCCCAAAAAAGCAGTCCACGGAATCATGCATAACAGCTAAATACAATGAATGGAAAAATCAGTGTTAATAAAATTAATTTCAAACAAGCAAGCTAAGTGATTGACTTACAGGATCAGCTGGTGCAATGTTAGAATCAAATTGGGTCAGAGTTTGTGAGCTTGAAGAGCGTTCGCTAAATGTCTCCCACTGCTGAACAGACAGAGGAGAGAAGTCAGCACGATGAGAAAGATGGGAGTAAAAGATCACTGCGGAGAATCAGCATAGTTTGGAGGTTGCACTGGAAAGTATTAATCTCTACATTCACTTTTCATACCGAAGATACAGGTGCAAAGTCAACACAGTAGTACCTTCAAGTTCATGTTTGCCAATGAAAATCATAAAAAAAAAAAAATCAATGAAAAGTAAAAAAACTGGTTAAGCCATTCAAATACTGTAAAGATAAAAATCAGTGACACGTTGTGTGTATTTGTAATGATAAAATCCACAAAAAGATTCCTCAGTTTTGTAGCTGCCAAGTTTCAAACTTATTCCGTAAATGCCTATATTCTTACAAAATCCCAGACAAATGAACACTGAACAGAGTACTCCAATTACACCAGTTCAACTTGCCAGTGCAACCCCCGAGAAGTGATTCTATGCTGTAAAAGAGCATTTTTACAAGTCTAAATCACTGACAAGGCAAAGAATTAAATTCAAACATACTGTTGATTGCTAAAAGCAAAGAAGTCAATCTCTGAACAATTTTATAAGATATAGGCATGCTGTATCAACACATGGTTGTCAAGAGTCCTCATGCTTAGCAGGTCAAGCTACAGTCACAACTGGATCAACAAAGCACATAAAATTAGTCTGTGATCCAGAAACCAGATTGCAAATCACAACAGGAATGCTAAACTTGTTATATTTTGGTAAAATAACAAGTAAATATTAACCAAGTTTCGAACACTACAATAAAAATTACAAATACAAAATTTTTAGTGCTCAGAAAATTTGCCAAAAATGTTAGTATAGTTGTGCAAACAAATCAATATTTTTGTCCCATCTCTATAGGAAAATCAATGTAAGTGATTCCAGAAGATACAGGACAAACTACATAGTGTTAGTCAACCAAATTTCACGTGCTCCTCTACACCAAGTTCGATGGCTTATATGTGAACCTAGTCTAAACCAGTTATTTCAGAAATAACTCTTTATGGAAATTCCTAAATAACTGTCTTCAATCAGCTGAAATTAAATGCAGAAAAAAGATCAACTAAATTTTTAAGTGCTTTCATGCGTGGTGTGACTCCTTGTAGAGATAGAGCCTTATCTCATTTCAAACTTTACACTAAGGCAGAGATTACGGGATACTGTTCATACAGGGGTTTTTGAGGTGTGTTGTTTTTTTTTTTTCCAATTTTTTTATACCCACAAAACTACCCCCTTCATGGACAGACTCTGACGAAACCTTTTTATTAAGGATGTAAGGTTTCCTTTCTTAACTGCTCTGTCTCACTGCCTAGATAGAGATAGTTTATCTCTATCACTCCACCCCTTCACGAGGAGGCAGCATGGCAAGTAGTCTGGAGCTACACAAACCTGTTGAGAGAGCCAGTCTTTACTAAGTCAGAAACTTAACAGCCAACTCCTGCCAGTCCTTCCTCTGATTTGGCATCCCGCATTTACACAGCTGCTCGTTTGCACAAAATATGCATTAATTTTTATTTTAGGGCTACCACTATCCTTTTAAACTTGATCAGGCCAGTGGGTTCAAAGCTGTCGATGAGACCAGCAAACAGACCATTTGATTACAGCAATACCGTTTCTTAATTTTTCAAAACTTCCAGAAAGGCATACAGCATCTATGTTATAGTTAAGATCAATGCTAAAATATTATTTCTTGGAGACGGATGCTGAATTCCCCTCTTATTCCACTCCTCTGAAGACGAAGTGCAGGATGTTTATTACCTGTCCTCAGGCTCCCTAGCTGGGCACAAATGAACACCAACATCTCCTGACTGCTCTGGGGAATATGCTATTGTGCTCCAGTTACTGCTAACTCTCTGGTTAATAGGAAGCTACATACATTAAACATCTACTGGACTGCATCTCAAACTCTGTGCAAGGTTCAAGAGCATTGACAACTGATTTGCTAGGATAAAACTACTAGCTGAAACTAAAATACTCGCCTTCTAGACTTGCAAAAATGTTTCAAAAATACTTTCAAAAGGTTAATTACTAGAAACTAAAACTCACAGCTAAAAGACCACCAAGACATTTGAAACAAGGCTTCATTTGAAACAGTTGTGAATTCAAAAGCAAATCTCTGTATGTGTGTCAAAGCTAATATGACCATATTGTCACCAGCCTGTTTTCAACAAAACTTTAGTAGGCTTTTCCATTTTTTTAAGCTCTCAGAACTAAGTGCTCAGCCTTGAGACTGGATGGAAAAGATGTCTGAAGTGAGAAAGAGGTGACGAGTGAAGAGATGAGAATGTGAAGCATGTAGTATCCAGAGTTAGGTGGATTTTCATGGTGCTCCTCATTCTGAAGTTTGAGACTGATGCCTTGATCCACACTTCTGAGCTTACAGTAACTGAGCCTGGCAGCTGGAGTCTAAAAATCAACTGAGCTAGAAAGAAGAGAGTAAATAACAGTTTTGAAACTAATGGGATGAAACTGCCTGGAAAGGCAGATGATCCAAAGATGCACAGCTTTTTCAAGCAACTCCTTTGTTGATGACAAGTTACAAGAGGTTCAAAGAGGAAACAATTAGACTGGTGCCTGCAGTAATACCAGAAATTTTTTCATGGCATTAAAACTTGAGGACTTTGACCTTACTCATGCTGAAAAGAAAATGCTGAGGAGCAAGAAGCATGCACAGCAATACAGCTGAAAAATCAGAAATTCCTTTGTGTTAGAACAAAAACCTCTGAACATTTAATAAATATTCAGCTCTTATTTTAGTATAGTTAGTATCTGGTAGTATATTTAGTGAGGGAAGTTTTCCAAAACACTTAAAGTTTTAATAGATTTTAAGAAAGAAAATACAACGTTATCTATCTGAATGGACAAATTCAGATTTGTAAGACAAGATTTTGGCCAACAGAGAACTGTCATGAACTTTGTTCCACCCTATTCAATTGGTGTAAGTTGCATTGGATACTGAAGGAACTTGTTCAATTACAATGCACATTACCAAATAATTAGCTTATTAAACCTTTATTGCAAACATGAGGTAATGCATCAATGCAAATTTTAATACAGGTGCAGACATTTACAGCTTTTTAGCAACAACTGAGTATCTCTTCGCCTCCCTCCTTAAGAATCACTAAATCGTTTCCTACATTTTTTTATGTGGGAAGGACAACACTGTGAGGCTACATCTGCCCTTAAGAGGAACAGCAGACTTCATAAAGTTCTTCCTGAGAGGAAGAAAATTTTGAAGAAGATTTCCTCTGCTCCTAACTGTAATATTAAAAATTTGCTTTTTTTTTTCTGTTTCATAGACTCTCCTTTGGTTTGTCTAAATCTTTACTACCAATCTTCTATTCACTTGATGTCTGATGAAGAAAGAAGAAAGCTACAAAAAGCTCTTTCAATAAAAGAAGCAGGTAAGATAACACTCAGCTACTGCAGAACTATCTTAGGTGTTAAATAAGTTTTAGATTCTTCTCGGTTTCAGATTATTAAAAAGAGTTTTCAAAAAATAATTTCAATACTTTTCCCTCTCCCCCCAAATAAGGTAAAATAAGCCTACATCATCTTTGTAGTATGGTTGCAGTCCGGAACTCTTTTGAGTCCCTTAAGTAGCTCTTAGAATAAAACATTGGTTTATTCTAAGGCAAAAATGTTAAAATAGAGCAACAAGAAAAACTCTAGGAATCAATCCCTTACAGGCTTTTTAAACAATGGACATTTGTGGAAAAACAAAAAATCTCTGTTTGGTAACTTTGGTTTCAAATTCTGACAAAATACAGCTTTACTATATAAGACTGCTTATATAGCAAACATGTACGGGAAAGGATGATGAAGTAGCAGTACGTAACAGTAAAAATTTAAAATTCAAATAAATTTAGCCAACAGTTGGCTTCAGACTCAGCTCTGAGCCTCTGCTTCTGAAATAAACACAGAGCTATGACTTCTCTACATTACCGGTGAGATATTTTGTATTTCAGAGTAAAACCACCTCCAGAAATAAGTCTCAATGTCCAGATCCATCAGAAATTTATTTCGAAGTTTTGCAAAAGTGTTGGCTATAAAAGCCTTTCAGAGGTAACAAAAAACCCCAAGCAAAAACCCACGCTAAATGAAAAAAATCAAGAATGAAGTCAACTTTTCAAAGAAATGCTATGAGATCATTTGGTGATTAATTCAAGAATGAATTCAACTTTTCGAAGAAATGCTATGAGATCATTTGGTGATTAATACAAAGCTTAATTGTCATTAACGAAAACATTTTAAATAGTAGCTCATCTCACAAAGAGACAGAAAAATCAGAAGGAAAACATTACCTTTTTTACAATTTAACGTGTAGAACCTTCCTGTATCTACTGGTCCTGCTACTTTTTCACAAGTTGTGATCAACAATCCATTTATGATCAATTATGGATGCATACACAATTTAGTTATTGACCAGCAATGAAAGAACTCTTAAATAAAAGTGCTAACCTCACTGCTCTGATTCAATTCTGGCCAGGTCTGGTTTAGGGATGGCATTGATGGAGAAATGTGTAGAACCTTCCTGTATCTATTGGTCCTGCTACTTTTTCACAAGTTGTGATCAACAATCCATTTATGATCAATTATGGATGCATACACAATTTAGTTATTGACCAGCAATGAAAGAACTCTTAAATAAAAGTGCTAACCTCACTGCTCTGATTCAATTCTGGCCAGGTCTGGTTTAGGGATGGCATTGATGGAGACTTGCTTGGAGGTGCTTCTGCTGGAGAGCTGGAGTAACCTACCTCACCAGTCTGTTCCCCAACTTCTGAAATGACAGGAATCACTATAAACCAAAATCATGAATTGCATTCATTTTATTCTCAGAGAGCTGCTCACACCTCATGGAAAGTGCAAAGTACCCTTTGGTTTCATCTTTTCCAAGTAAATACAGAAGACAAAACACACTAATTCAAGTCAAATATACTATTTATCAAGTGCTACTCTTATTTTGAGGATCCTTCTGAAAATTAGACTTTGAAGATTACTCTGTACCATACTATATCCCTCTACTTTGACTTTTAGAAAGCATTTTGCAATTTTGATTACACATAGAAATATAATTTTTTCTTATATTATGAGAAAATAACTTCATGCTAATGTTTATTACACCAAATCCAGCACTGAGAAGTTTATCTTACAGAATAAAATACTTCCTCATATGAAAGGTTAAAACAAAATTGGTGTATCAATGCAAACACAAACCAAAAGTATGAAAACAGAGATGAAGAAACACTTTGCTGAATAATCTAAGGGCATGGTTAAGTTTTAAGCCTCTTTGCTAAAACAATAGTGTTTCCATTCACACTATATTTTGCAAATTGAACAAGACTAGCAGCTGTCACATTGCAACTGCACATTGTTGCTATTATTTCAGTTTTCTCTGAGCTTTCAGCAAGTACAGTCCCTTGCAGAAACACTCCTTCAGAGCTGCACGAATTTTCACGATGCAGCACACTATTTTTTTTCTGTTCAAACTCTAAGAGAATTGGGTAAATTTGAACAGAAAGTTAAGCGTTCTGTGTAACACAGGAAAATCCTGCTTACAGTGCCTTTTCTTTTGCGAGACACCACGATACAAGCTAAAGCAATGCACAGAGAGCCTCAAAAACCTGAAGTTCAGATTACAACTATACAATGTAAGTAACAAAGAGCTGAAAGAGTGACTGATAAGTAGCTAGACACATTAAAAGGACTGCTTGATGGCAGATATGTCATTGAAGATGACTGTCAAAAAATGTGACACACTGTACCAGTAATCAATTAAAATTTATAAAAAGGACTAGTTTCAGGCTCCTGAAGAGCTGAAACCGGCAGCCTGCTCTTCTGCTACAACAGGTCAATGTTGTGTCTGCTGTTGTCTGCTCAGAAGAAACTCAACAAATCCAGTGTTAAATTGAGCTGGAAACACTCCAACAGTCAATTGTGACCAACTTCACCTTTGAAAACCAGCTACAACCAATTGTTGTTTCCAAAGTGCTGTTGGGGACAGCAAGAGGCACAGCCTAAAAACAAGAGCCAAAACCCTGAAGCCCAGAAAGAAATTGTCCCATCTTGAGGCCAGGGGAGACAGAGGTGAATGACATTAAAAAAGTCACACACAACAAGCAGTAATGCATCAAAATTTCAAGGGTCTTGTAAACTTCCTATAAATAGCCAGATATGAGGCTGAGACTCAATGCTCCCAAAATCCTGCCCAGCACCCAGTATCTCGTATTACAGTCCTTTAGAGAAAATGGTTTTACAAATCGTTCCAGATAGGAACTGCATCTAATACCTCCTTCAGGCAAAAAGCATCTTGCAATAAAAAATAGGCTACATCAAGCCGATATCTACAGGCACAACGATGTCACCAAGTAGTCAAGATGACATGCTGTGGCCATTGTACACGAAATAATATCCTAAGTTCAAAATCCACCAGTGGCACAGTTTCGGGAATGCATCTTGCATATCAGTTGCTCTGAAGTGTAATATGAATACAAATTTTCTAATGAGTTAAAAAAAAACACTCAAAACTCATTTCAGTAGTGATGCACTAGCTGACTGAACTACTACTGTTCATCACGAGGTCAAAAGATAATGCTGAAAACTGCTGTGGATAGACTACGCAGCTACCTGTAATTCCAGGAATTTTGCAAATATCTCCACAAAACGTGTAACAGACCTATGAAAACTTCAGGGGTGAAGTAATTAAGTTGTGTAAACTGCAAAGCATGGCAGATTCTTATTCTCACCAAAAAATGGTAATGTTGCAGCAGCCCAAACAAAAAATAATTCACAGAAAAGTAAAACTCGCTCTGAGTTTTGTAAAGGGTTGGTAGCTTTTACTAACTGAGATAAAACTGAGTTTAAAGGAAAATATTCATAAAATCACGAGTCGTACCCTTTTCAGCTGCAGATCATAAATTCTGCCACGACAGACGCAGATGCTATCAACAGTATTCAATTCATAAAATAAATGTATAAGCACTTGGAGAAGCATTTGTACAACTGCATGACTTCCCGCTCCCCTTTTCATCCACTGCAGTTCTCTTCTACAGGCTGTTCTTACATGGACAGATCCCAGCTCATTTTGAAGAGCTGACATTATCTGTCTACAAACACCACAACACAATGTTAAATCTTCAGCGGAGCTGCTGCAACTCAAATAATTCTTCGAAATGCACAATCCAATTCAAAATACTAAACCCATTCAATTAGAGTAATGTGGTAGTTCTACAATACAAGAACTTAACCCACCTCATTTCTCTCTCTAGTCAGCAGAAAGATATTAGCACCTCATTTAACATTTTTTCCCCTATAAAAATTCTGTAGAGGTAGGGTGCTGTATCAGGAAAATAACCAACTATATAAATCATAGAATCATGGAATGGTTTGGGTTGGAAGGGACCTTAAAGATCATCTAGTTCCAACCCCCCTGCCATGGGCAGGGACACCCTCCACTACACCAGGTTGTCCAAAGCTCCATCCAACCTGGCCTTGAACACTTCCAGGGATGGGGCATCTACAACTTCTCTGGGCAACCTGTTCCAGTGCCTCACCAACCTCTGAGGGAAGAATTTCTTCCTTATATCCAATCTAAATTTCCCCTCTTTCAGTTTAAATCCATTGCCCCTTGTCCTGTCACTACACGGTCTTGTAAAAAGTCCCTCTCCAGCTTTCCTGTAGGCCCCCTTTGAGTACTGGAAGGCTGCAATGCTTTATTATACAACAGGTCTTTGTCATGTGAGAGAAATACACATCCCTGGTCATGGATGTAAGACCCTGGTCAGATGTACGACCAAGACGTTAATGGGTTTGGGACACCTGCAGCTGATCACAACGGATTCCCAGTGGCTGCGAGAGGCTACCAGAGCAGGCCACCGGAGTTCTTCCCTCCATCCATCTCAACAGACATGGGGTGCAGGGAGCCTTCTTTCTGCTGGCCACTACTTCCAAAGTCAAAGTGGACAGAGACAGTGAGTTTCAGGCGCAGAGCAGAAGCACAGAAGATCAAGGGGAAAGTTTCTAACAAAAGGACGGAATTAATAACGGGATCGTTAACACTTTTGAAATGGAGTTTACTGTCTTGCACGTTGGTTTAAAAAGACATTCAAGCAATTCACCTTCTTGAACAGTTTGGAAGTGTGTTATTCACATTGAGGCTTCAGTTAGCAGATCATTAACAATTTCTTTGAGAAAGTTCTATGCCATTAAAAAGGTACACTCAAAAAGACACTCCAACGCCGTGCTTTACAGTTTCTATTTCTGAGAAGGCTGTTGCAAGCAAGCTTTATTGAAATATAGATTTTATGAGGACTAAAAAGAAAAAATTATTACAGAAATTTAACTGCTTGATCTTTCTAGGCTGATTTACAGTCCTTTAAGTTGAACCCATGTAATTTAACATGCACATTAGTCTGCACATAAACCTATGAGTAACTTTTAATTTAGATTAAAATAGTAAATGTATACTAGAGATTTGGACTGTTGTAAAGTAAAACTATAGCCATGTCAGTAACTTCTCCTGAAGTCTTTTATTCAACATACAAGTTTTGGTGATAAATCATGTTGGGTGCTAGAAAAAATGAGATATTTTCAATGCTGGTGGCCCAAATTAAAAGAAAAAAATAATTAGTTAATTGGATAAAATTCAACAATTTTGCAAGAACTGTCATGTTTCACTGCATCTGTTAACAGCAGAATCAAGTATCTATCAGAACTTTTTTTAAGCACAGCTTACACAGCATGGCATCTTTTTAACATCCACTAGAAGAAGGTAACTTCCCTTTAATACCAGAGGGGAAAACTTTGTTTTTAATTACTTTTAAAAGTATTTTTTCCTCAAATTTAAGGACCACTTTGTACCTCAGGAAAATAAAGTTTTGTTTTGTCCTGGTTTCAGCTGGGACATGGTTGGGTTTTTTTCAGTAAGAAGAACTAACTTTGTCCCAGCTGAAACCAGGACGTATATTAACAAAGTTGCCTGTAAAATAAAAACAATAAACACACACATAACACTTTTTGGTTTAATGTCTAATTTATAAAGTTTCCAGACAACTTCAGTTAAACATTAAAAGCCTTGAAATCTACAACCAGTAAAGACAGTAGATGATCAGGTACAGATACAGTTGTTGGGTTGTGGATTTTTTTTGTTGCTAATGTTTTTTTTTTTAAATAACAATGGTTTTTACAATTAAATGGTACTCCATTTTCCATCAAGATTTTTGCTTGGCCATCATCTTAACACAACTAGTCAGAACGGGCAGGTTTTAGACACTTTCTAGGTATTAACCCAACTAATTGTAGATATGTTTTATAAATGTCTTCATCACAGCAAAATGCTTATACTGAAAACATTTCAGTTGCAGTTGACTGATGCTGGAAAGGTTCTTTGAGGAGCCAAGCTACTCCCACAAAAAAATGGTTTAGCTATTAAAGCAGAGGTAGCAAGAGCCACAGTATCTAGTTTAAAAACTCATCAATAACTGTCAGGTGAAAGTCTTTGACATCCTACAAACACAGTACGAAGAGACTTCCTTTGAAATATTTAGTAAAAAGAAATAAAATTCTAGGAAATCACAGTACCTGTGCACTCACAGTATAACCTGGTTTTCCAAGCAAAGACTGCTTGTTTAAAAGTAATCTAAAGTATTTTTAAAATATTCAGTTTTCTTTATCTGCTTTAAAATAAAAAAGGAAGATGGCCACAAACATTCTGCTTTTAAAAACCACTTTTACATTGAACAAGTTTGCTTTTCAGTTATGGGACCGAGTTTTTGGCACATATTAACAAGCAGAACTCATACATTCAATGGTTTATTTGGGAGCATCCCAAGGTAAAGGACTATGCACAGAAAGACTAGGTGCCAAAGCAATGGAGGATAAATCCTGCTGTCAATTCAAGAGTAGAATAAAAAAAATAATAATAATCATCTGTGCTACTGATCATGTACTTTTAAACTACACAGTCTTACCTTTAGTATTGAATCTGAGAATATTTTTAAGTACCTTTAAGACTTTGAAACTCATATCATATTGTCAGAAATCAGGGTGAACAGAAAGCATATTCATTTGAAAGTAAGTCTGAAGTATAGCTGGATTGGGAATGTGGCATATAATAGCTGCTGATGAATAAAATCCATATTGTGACAGTTAATTTTGGTTTCCTTAACTTTTAAAGGACACAGGCAGTATTCCCAAATGTAATAGTTTTTGTGTACTATTCCTAAACATCATCTCGCTGTACAGAAATATGTATATGCTCAGATTAGCTCTGCACACTGATTAAGATTTCTAAAAATTACACATTGCTTTACTTCATACTGACTAATGCATTATGCTCATACAAAGTATCAACTGACAAACTGTAAAAAACTATACCATCATTTGAAAATAGTGAAATTTGTGTTGACGCATGTCTTACCCGTCGAGTCTTCCAAATCAATCAGTTTGGGCATTAAACTTTCAGGTAACTTTTCTGGCAAATCATACCCATTCTTCCTAGCAACTACCAGATGAAACGCAGCACAGAACTCGTCCAATGTCAGTGCACCATCTTTATCAAAATCTGACAGTTCCCTAAAAAGGAAAACTTAGTATAAATAAAATAACCTTAAGAAATTTTATGTCTAAAAGTCATACTTCTGTTGTGCTACTTGGAAGATCAAAGAATGCAGTCTCATTTTACCCTATTAAACACTTCACATTAGTGCTGCATGCTTTACTGTTCAAAGATGATAAGTCTTCATTAAAAACACTTCTTAGAGCTTAAAAATCACTTAAACTCACTTTTATCTTTCCAGGTTTTTAACTCATTTAAAACAGCACTACACAATATTATTGGCCTCAGATTTTCAGCAAGTATACTAAAGAAACGATAGTGCTGAGGCAACCTTATCTATTCTAAATGGGTAAATATCTGAATTAGAAACCATTACACTGAAAGAAAGACCAAATCTGCCAAGGTAAGCCATTTAATGACAGCATGCAATGATGCAGGACAAATTCCAGAATACAGTGAAACACAAGCTTCGCACCAAGTCAAAGCTAAATTTGTCATCAAGTCCCACTGAGTGCATTTAAAAATATTTGCATCTGTACCTTTCATTGAAAATTTGACTTGAATAAACAAATAGATAAGGAATTAATTATTTTAATTTAAATGCATCTTTAACAACAGAAACCTCAAGTAAATCACTTCTTACTCTGAAGCATTTGAAATTTCTTCAAAAGCTCAAAACGTCTTCTGAATAGTGCCAGTCTAGACCCATTAAAGCCCACTAAAGTAATACTGGAATGAATGTGAGCAGGACTGAACATACTAGAGCACTAGTGAAATTTCACTTAACACCTTCTAGAAAGCAGATTATTAGATAACTGCCATTTGGCTCTCATCTTTCTAAATAATTATCCTGAATAAAGACACATCACACTTACCAAATATGAGAAAGTTCAAGAATAGGTAGTTTTGACTTAGTGAAAAATTCTTTAGCTGCAGATCCTGAAAAATTACAACAATCATTTTTAATATTTAAAGCAAGTTAAAACATTAGAAGACTTACGAGTTATGGTAAAGGGGATCAGCTATTTAGCAAAGGTTTTGGGAAAACCAGCACTAATTACTAGGGTTAAACGAAGGAAAAAGGCAAATTAGTTTCAAGTTCTTTCTTGAATTACACTGAGTTTACTAGAACATTATCAGTGAAATGTAAAACTTTCTTCAAAATGGTATGCAAACCTAAGCACACAACAAAGTCTTTGTCACAGAACTGCTGGACCCACAATTATATTTTTTTAAAGAGTAACTTACCTGGTATAAATCCATTTAGATCAGGTTGAATGGTTTTAAACTGATTAATATAATACTGCCTTTGTTCATCAGTTATTTTCCAGGGGTCATCATAACTACTTGATTGCCTACGAATTTCATTTGTTGTTGTAGCTGATGCTACAGTTCGGACTGTTGTCTGGTCCTGAAATGAAATATTTTTCCTCAGTATTATCTACCTAAAATGCTTTTAGGAATTCTCAACTTCTTGCCTTCAAAAAATAAAGCATAGTTAAATCTCACAGTAGTTTAAAAACCACAGGAAGCCATCAGCAGACTGCATCTATGGGATAATGACAGGGTATTTTTGCACACTGATACATATGGATAGGAATGACTGCAGGTATGTAAGCAGAAAAAAAAATATGGCACATATGCAAAAAAGCTAAACACAAACATTTTTTAAAATGTCAACAATTACAACTTCAAATTAGGAGCTTTCAGTTAATCATTTCAAATGAAGTCAACTCAATGAAACAAGTATCTGTTGGGTAACAGACAACAGCACAGATACACAGTAAACATCTGCAATGAAAATTATTTAAAAAAAAAGACTGCAACATCAATCTGAATGAAGCAAATCAAATACCAATAAAGTGTCACACCTGGACAGAAGCAGGATGCATGGCTAAAAGAGCACTGGTTGGTGGGGTATCTGCAAAACTGACCCAGTTTTCTTGATGGGGTGGTGGTGAATGGCCAGACCATATGGGATCACTAGAAGTAGATGAGCCTGAAAGCAGAAGAAACATTTCCTTTTCAAAAGATAACCTTGAAAACGGAGTGAGAGCTATGGATATGGAAAGCAGCCAAAAAAAAAGGCAAAAGTCCTGAAACACATGCTGCTGTCAGGGAGATATACACTCATATAACGGTGAAGAAAATGAAAACCAAATTGCACCAAGGTGACAAAATTCACCTCCTGACAACTCACTCCAGTAGATCTTTACATTAGGTCATCTTAAATCTCCACTAAAAAGAGAGAAGGGAGGAACAAGTTTATTGCAGCATGTGTAAAAAGTAAACTGAGTTTTACCCATTTTATGGGTTTTGAATGAGTTAATACTCCACGTTTTCACTTGAAATGATCAGCACTTGTACAGACAAACAGATATTTAAAAGTGGCATGCATTATTAACATGCAACTTTACTATCACTACTATTAAACTTTTCATTTTCAGGTTTTAGTTTGCCCTTCAAAGAACAAAGTCTGTGAAACTCCTCTTAAAATCAGGCTTTTTGGCACAGAAATTTTTTTCTAAATTATTTCTAGACTAACTAAAGTCGGTTGCTTAAAGACAGGCCAAGAATAATAAAAGGCATCCATATAGAGTGCCGACATCTGCTATGTATTTACTATCTGGAACACAATAATTGAGATTCACCCAGTGCCTTGTTATAATCTACTGAAGTACTGCCATGTTCAACATCTTAATATCAAAATGACAATGAAGCAACTATAGAAAGATTTGGTCACCCACTGCTCCATGTACAAAACTCAAAATTCTCTTCACTTGCAGTTAAAAATTAAAAATTTAAAGAGATCAGAGGGAAAACAAACTATCCAGAACAAGTCTAAAAGAATCCCAGGACTCCATTCTACTCCTTGACTCCTAAAAGAAATGCAGAACTCCTTAAATCTCAATGGCAGTTCTGAAACGAACTAATGTACTCTTCTTGCACAACTAAATGCTTTCTCTTGAAACATGTTAAAGTCATATTAGACAGCAACTTCTGCCTGAAATGTAGCAGCAGATTTCCTTTTAAAAGGCAGATCAACTTCTTGTGAGTTTCTGTAAGCCCTCCACACAACTCACAAACGAAAAATACGACATTAATGCCATAATTTTAACCCTGCCACTAAGATCTAACTTGAAGCAATAAAACCCAAGAATTTATTGCCAAGATGCTGGCTAAAAAATATTGCTATGAGAAGTCCATTTTTATATAGGTAGTTATTTATGAAGATGACAAATATCAACAATTTCAGGTCTTGGAGACTGATGACACTACCAGTACCCCAACTGCAGGAAATAAGAGTGGAGGAAATCTGAGAATCAGAGACACACTAAGTGCTGACATCTAAAGTGATGCTCAGAATACAAAATTGCTATTTAATATCTGGCAGTATGCAATTACTCTTTCATTCCATAAATGATCCTTTTCCAAGGAGAAAGCAATGAGAGAAATGCTTAGAAGTGGTTTATCTTTGCTCTTCTCCTACAAACAATTGCCATAATTGTGTGCAACGCATTTAATCTTGCATGACATAGAGTAAAAATGGAGATTTCCAGAGGGAGAAGATTTTTTGAAGGAGGAGATCAGTCTTGATACAACAGTATACAGACTTGATACAACATTGAGAGGGTTCATTATTGCTGAATTTCATCAAAATATGAAAAGAATACCAAGGAGGTTTTGCGGTGTTTTTATTTGTGGGATTTTTGGTTGTATTTTTTTGTTGTTGGGTTGTTTGATTGAGAGTTCGGGGTTTTTTTGTTTAAGTTAGCTTTGTTAGGATAAAAAGCCACTGTTAACTACTCCTTTTGTCCCTACATTTGCCCTCCGCTTCTGGAAGCTCCTGATGTGGTCTGAAGCTTCTAGTGACTTTATCCAAAATTGCTGAGAAAAAAAGGCAATGACTTTGACACTGCATTTTTGCCTTGAGATTCTTCTCCAGCACCTGGCCTAACTCTAATAAAACACTCGAAAGAAGTGTGCAGGTAAGCTCAGTCTGTCTCCACCTGGTCTCTCTCAGCACAGGGCTAACAGACAGTAAGATTCAGACAAGTCCTTCCCATCTCTCCTATGGATACACCACACAAATTTTACTTTTAATATAATGGTTCTCCCCTTCTCTGCCCCTCAGACATTGACTTTATTACCACTAACCTTACATACACTTACTCCACCTTTACTTCTCCCAACAACTTGTCTGAGTACAGTTTAATTTGTATTCCACTGAGCACAGTACTGCTTCCAAAGCAGTACTTCTACAGCGGTGGAGATGCCAGGAGCACCAAAGTGTCACACCTTCTGAGTACTCTGCAAGTATTACAAGCATTGTTTCCTTTCTCCCCCCTTCAAATAATCCCAACAAGAATACTCTTGCTCTACTGTTCCTGTTACTCACTCTGTGATGCCATGTTTTAGGACAGAGGATGGGAAGGCTGGAGAACACTGGAGAAAGATAACTGGTAACTGTGGACACCTGGATCTATACACACACTCACAGACTGCCACCAGCCAGTAACTCAATTCTCAATCATGAAAACTACATCTATTTGACATTTGAATTAAGGGATTGCCACCCCTCACTTTCGGCTCGAACTACAAAATCAGACTGAGAACACTGAGGTTGAAGGGAAGGTGGAAGAAAACTGGGTCACAGAGAAGACTCGGAACAATCAGTGTATTTTTATTTTATGAGTTGTAACCCGAAGAAGAAACAAACTTCAGCAGTCTGTGTGCTTTTTCATCAGTGAGAACACCATTTACAGCACTCTGAATGCAGAGCAAGCCTAAGACCAATTACCAGATTTGAACTGGCTGGTGAAGTCTAACGCACTGTGTCTGGCATGAAGACCTGACGTGAATGCCTGTGGCTGCTCTGTATCCTTCTCCTCTAGCGTGAGTATCTTACCAAAACATTGGTAACTAGTGGAACACGATTCACTTTCTGTGGGAGAAAAGTCACCCCGTCACTTTTAGCTACAAATTAAGTGTAAGAAATGCTTTATCTAAATAACATCTGAGTAGCTTGTACTTTTCAATAACGATACAAATGTGGGTTTACTAAATATTCAACTAACTTTGTAAACTAGCAAGAGTCAGCCTCACCTCCATCCCTGGAAAGATAATGGAACAACTTATCCTTGGTGCTGTCTCTAGGCATATCAAGGATAAGAGGGTCAATTAGGGGCAGTCAACATGGCTTCACTAAGGGGAAGTCGTGCTTGACAAACCTGATAGCCTTTGATGAGGACATCACCCAGTGGGGTGGATGCTGGTAGAGCAGTGGATGTGGTCTATCTTGACTTCACTAAAGCATCTGACACAGTCTCCCATGGCATCCTCACAGCTAAACCGAGGAAGTGTGGCCTGGATGATCGGGTAGTGAGGTGGATTGTGAACTGGCTGAAGGATATAAGCCAGAGAGTAGCGGTCAATGGGACAGAGTCCAGTTGGAGGCCTGTATCCAGTGGAGTCCCTCAAGGGTCAGTACTGGGACCAGTATTGTTCAACATATTCATCGATGATTTGGATGAGGGAATAGAGTGCACAGTCAGCAAGTTTGCTGATGACACTAAACTGGGAGGAGTGGGTGACACACCTGAAGGCTGTGCTGCCATTCAGAGAGACCTGGACAGGCTGGAGAGTTGGGCGGGGAGAAATTTAATGAAATACAACAAGGGCAAGTGTAGAGTCTTACATCTCGCTAAGGACAGCCCCACATACCAGTACGAGTTGGGGACTGAACTGTTGGGGAGCAGCACAAAGGCAAGGGACCTGGGGGTCCTGGTGGGCAGCAGGATGACCATGAGCCAGCAATGTGCCCTTGTGGCCAAGAAGGCCAATGGCATCCTGGGGTGTATGAGAAGGGGTGTGGTTAGTAGGTTGAGAGAGGTTCTCCTCCCCCTCTACTCTGCCCTGGTGAGGCCACATCTGGAATATCGTGTCCAGTTCTGGGCTCCTCAGTTCAAGAAGGACAAGGAACTGCTGGAGAGAGTCCAGCATAGGGCCACAAGGATGATGAAGCGAGTGGAGCATCTCCCTTATGAGGAAAGGCTGAGGGAGCTGGGTCTCTTGAGCTTGGAGAAGAGGAGACTGAGGGGGGACCTCATTCATGTTTATAAATATGGAAAGGGTGACTGTCATAAGGATAGAGCCAGGCTCTGCTCAATGGCATCCAATGATAGGACAAGGGGAAATGGATATAAGCTGGAACATAGGAGGTTCCGCTTAAACATGAGGAAGAACTTCTTCCCAGTATGGAGAACAGAACACTGGAACAGGCTGTCCAGAGAGGTTGTGGAGTCTCCTTCTCTGGAGATGTTCCAAACTCGCCTGGACACGTTCTTGTGTGATCTGATCTAGGTGGTCCTGCTCCGGCAGGGGGATTGGACTAGATGATCCTTTGAGGTCCCTTCCAATCCCTAACATTCTGTGATTCTGTGATTCCTTGCTATCAAGTTGTGATGACACAAAACCAGAAAGTGAGTACAATTTTGGCAATAAAGTAAAACGCTGTAGAGCTCTTCCCTCCCTGAATAATCACGTCCTGGTAAGAATAACCCTTAACTTGTAACAAGGCCAATTATCAAGAGTTATTGAAGCGGTAACTACGAGACAAAGGACTATTCAGTCCCCAGCAAGTACAGTAAATATCTTGGGCCTCTAAAGATGCAAGTGAACTGTTAGCACAGTAGACATGTTCCACTTCCATCCATGGAATTTTCTGGTTCTTGATTTCATGATCTGCAACAAAACCTCTCCCAACGAGGAAAAGAAAGAAGTGTGGTTTAGGGCTGCAAGTTCTCATACATATTCAGACATCAAAAAGAGCACTGATGCAAGGCCAGAGCTAACAGAGGTCCTATGACTGAACAGAAGACCTCAAGACTTTTTTACTAGTTTGAAAACATTATTTGGATACTACCAAAATAAATACTCTGCTTTGCTTCTAGTCCAAACAGACTACAAGGTAACAAAAAATAATTTCTAGCCCCTACTCTGGCAAGCACTCAACTATCGTTTGAAGTGGGGAAGGGGTTCTTTCTCCCAAGTTTGTCACCATCAGCATCCTTCTAGCAGCTGAAGCTGTAGTGCAAAATGAGCTGAAAAGGTAAAAGTACTAAGTTGGTTTTTTTTTCCTTTCCTATAACTACAGGTACAGGAGGCTCTCATGTTATACACAATTCTGTTTCCTACAAGGAGTACAGTCGTCCACTGTATTCTTCTGTGAAGACTGATCCAGATCAGAGATGCAAGCCAGAACTGGGGCACAAAAACATGATTTTTTTTTAACAGCTTTATCTTAAACTGTCAAATCAAAGACACTTGGAAGACTTGAGACACTCAGGTTTTAATAGAATTGACTCTGATATTTAAGGATGAGACCTGAATGAACTATAAACTTCATTATACACAGGTGATCAATGTCTGTCCCTGAACTTTTAATTCCTGATACTAAAGTAAAATACGTGCACCTTTTGGGGCTCTCTTTACAAAAAGGCTTGAAGAAAGACGGTAACAAGACTTGGCTTCTGATTTCAGATGTGTAAGCACACTGAGCTGGTCATGACAGTGCCTCAGAGTCCAGCTACTTAAGAAGCAACACTAACAGTATCCTAACTGAATTAATGGACAACACAGGGGCAAAAAAACTTGTAAAATCTAAACTCTTTTGCTCTGTTGAGATGAGAACAGGATTTCTTCCTCAAGAAGTTGAGAATTATAGTTATAAGCCATGCTTAAGACTTCTGATACAAAAGAAGGTTAAAGATTTTTAAAAACAATCGAGTCATTATCTAATTGATCTTACTGGCATCACGGAGACGTGGTGGGATGAATCCTATGACTGGAGTGTCAGAATAGAAGGGTACAGGCTCTTTAGGAAGGACAGGCAGGGGAGAAGAGGAGGACTTGGGAGTGCTGGTGGATGAGAAGCTCAACATGAGCCAGCAATGTGCGCTGGCAGCCCAGAAAGCCAACCATATCCTGGGCTGTATCAAAAGAAGTGTGGGCAGCAGGTCGAGGGAAGTGATTCTGCCCCTCAGCTCAGCTCTCGTGAGACCCCACCTGGAATACTGTGTTCAGCTCTGGAGTCCCCAACACAAGAAGGACATGGAGCTGCTGGAGCGAGTCCAGAGGAGGCCACGAAGATGATCAGAGGGCTGGAGCACCTCTGCTATGAAGACAGGCTGAGAGAGTGGGGGCTGTTCAGCCTGGAGAAGAGAAGGCTCCGGGGTGATATCACAGCAGCTTTCCAGTACTTAAAGGGGACCTACAGGAAAGCTGGAGAGGGACTTTTTGCAAGGGCAAATGTAGTGATAGGACAAGGGGCAATGGATTTAAACTGAAAGAGGTCACATTTAGATTAGATATAAGGAAGAAATTTTTTACTCTGAGGGTGGTGAGGCAGTGGAACAGGTTGCCCAGAGAAGTTGTGGCTGCCCCATCCCTGGCAGTGTTCAAGGCCAGGTTAGATGAGGCTTTGGGCAACCTGGCGTAGTGGAGGATTTCTCTGCCCATGGCAGGGGGGGTGGGACTAGATGATCTTTAAGGTCCCTTCCAACCCAAACCATTCTATGATTCTATGATTGTAATAGTTATTCTCTACAGTCTAATTTGATACAGAAAGTACTATTTAATTTTTTTCATGGTGGGAGTATGATGATGCAATGGAGTATCTTTACCATGCATAAGGCAGAATCTTCCTATTTAAACATATCTTTCTCCAAAGAAAAAAATTATGTTTTGATTTTTGTCCTAGTTTAAGGCAACATGCTGTTTATTATTAGATCCATCAGAAACATTTCCACACTTGAGGTATCATGCTTTCAGCTGACAACCCCATTACCCTCAAACAACGTTTCACACAATGTGAAATACAAGTAGAGAGACCTGGGTTCTTATTTTTCTTGGATCACAAGTGAAATGGCACAGTCCTGCCTTAAATCCTTCTGAAATACCATGCACTTGCACATTACCTGATTTCTCAAGAACATCTTGCATTGAAATCAAGATGAGCTTGCAGTGTTGATTCTAAGAAAAGTAACCAACCCTCTATCTGCTTCTACCTAAACATCAGCAGAACATAATTTTTCTACAAAATACTGTCTGTAAAAAGTAGGCTCAACAGAGGAAAAAAGAATGATGAACTGTCTACAACAGCTGAAATTCAAAGGAATAATTAATCATCCACAGCGCAAAATAATCACCCATAGAGAATCAGGATGAAAATGTTTGTTAAACTACATATATGAAACCACTCTATCCTGAGCATTGCCAGAACAGTCAATCCTTCTATAACAGTATCTGCAAATTACTTTAAACACACTATGAATGTGTTTTGGTACAGAATATAAAATGGGCAAATATTGAGCCAGATCAGAAATACTTTCAGACTACTACTGAAAAATATATCCATTAGGCATCACGGGAAAAGCACTGCCAAACTCAAATATTAACATGGTGTTACAACTTTATTTTTAAGAGGACAATACGGCACTCATCAACAGTAGGAAGAGTTTGCGTACTTTCCTGGAGCCCTTGATTTCCTAAGTTAGAATAACTTCACAAGTTAGAAATCACCTACCAGACAATCTTCTATTTCAGCTTGCAAGAAAAGCAAATCAACTAAACTATGCCAGAAGTCAAGAAAATTCACTGCTGAAAAATCACAATGCCTGGGCTGAACCCTTAGAACTGATTATAAATGCAATAAGCAGACTAATCATCTTTATTTTTTTATTCTACATTGACTGCCACTTACTAGCAAACAACATTCAGGACACTAGCATACACCTCCCACATACAGCCCATTTCACTTCTAAAATAACTTCTATTTCCTTATCCAACCAATTCTAACAACAGAATCCCTGGTTCTCCATGGATGCTTGTAACTACAGAATGATGACAAATTGAAAAAAGCAGATCAATTTTGGAATATCAAAACTGAAATAAAACAACAGTTCAATCTGAAACTACAGCCTACAAAACGCAACATATTATTTAGCAGAATCGTCAAAAGCAGAGCCTGAATTAGAATTGCTCTGCTGTTCCCAAATTTATTAAGTCTATCAGATATCAGAAAAGAAAACAGAACTTTTTGAAATATGAGGTATTAAGGGAGAAAGCTTTTTAAATCTGAGCACAGAAATTCAACAACAACAAGGAGGGTCTTCATGTTAAATGAAGAACAATAAAGGATGAAAAGATTTACTGAAACAAGTGGTTCTATCTTGCCAGATTGGAGATAGTGTAGCTTCAGTTATATTTATGTAAACTTTAAAGAAAGCCAAAAAAAAAAAAAAATATTAAGAGAACTAGTTGCTCTGACAATCCATCTGATCTACTACAAACATAATTCAAACAAACAACACGTTATCTGCTGCTTTCTCTTAAGCTCCCCAGGTTTTGGGGTACACTGACAGTTCCTGCACAGTTCCAACAGGACGTCAGTGTTGTATTAGAAAGCCTTCCACTGGGAAATTTCCATACTCTCTCCCTCCCTCCAAACTCTAAGCATTTCCCATACCACATTAAGGAATGGATCCACCATGTACAGGATGACGCATTCCACAGTGCTGCCATCAACATGAACATTGAACATGAATCTGCAAGAAAGTTTCCAAGATTGGAAAATACAAAGATAAACTGCCCTAAACTCATTTAATATACTTATTTAAGAATTCCACAACTTTGGGTTACAGCTGAAGTAGAACAGAAGACATTTATACCTGGTTGTGCTTCACTAAATGGAGCCCAAAAAGGCCCAGGTCCAGCAAGAGGTCGTTCATTATTCCCTCCGCTGGGATGGCGGTTGTGCTTCCTCCATGTATGTGGAGAGGTTGGTGGGGATTGCTGTGGTGAAACAACTGGAGATGTGGACTCCTAATAAAACAAAGGAACCTTTTAAGTTTTATACTAAATAACTAAATACATAAAAGCCTATCTAAAACCATTATTTCTAGGAACAACCATCACTGCAGTTAAAGTCTCATTTTAGAGAGTGAAAATTTTAGTACTTATTAAAATAAGGGAACAGGAGAAGTCAGGTACAGGATGACTGGACATGGTCACTTCACACAAGGTCATCTAATATATTTTTAACTTGGCACTCTTAAGACAACAGCAATGCCGAGTTAAATGACTTTGCTACAAAGGATACTAGATTTTAAGACTCACTTTCACTTGTGATAAAAGTTACATTTGAACCCAGGTCTCAAAAGAAAAGATTATTTACTGTACAATTTATCAGCATACCGAAGTTTCATCAAGTGATTCACAATCAGTGACTTTCATTTAAAAAACAAACCAGCATTAAACACTGAAAAAAATCCCTACGCAGGTCACATCATTATTATTATTTTAATATGCAAAAACATAGATGTAATTTTTTCCAAAGAATGATGCCATCTAGGACATACTTCTCTGTTGTACGAATTACAAGGTAGTTTTGCCCTGATGTTAAGACTCAAGCTTCTCTTTAATCCTGTATTTATTATATTCTCCCTGAACAGGCAGGAAAACAGAGAATCACATGTGCAATTTCTATCTGGATTCAGTTCTCATAAAACATTCAGATTACCAGATTATTCCATTTCAAATAAAACAAAAAGGAAAAATCATTTATATTGTACAAAGTATTTATATAGTTGAAAGTAATTTCCTCCCTATATATATATATATCTTTTGAAATTCCTGTTTGCCAGATGTCCCAATTTGAACTAAACTTTATTAGTGAAAACAAGTACAACAAGAAAGCAAAGCTTGAACTTCGAGTTTCCTGAAAAGTAAAAACAAAGCTAAAAATCTCAAAATCTGATTTCAGACAAAAAAATAGTTTGGTACTCTATGTTAACAACTGTTAACGTACTATCCAGTACTAACAGCCAGACTGACTATAGGCTTCCACACGATTCCCAAACTGAACTGGTTTACTTTTTCAAATATTCAAAAGTCATTATGCTTTTAAATCAATATTACATCTGCAAAAGTCTAAAAGTCAGTGAGAAAGTGCCATAAACAAGCTTTTATCCAATCAAGGTACACACTAAAGCCACATGCACTGTAACAAAAAAGTTTTAGGGCCATGATGACCGGTTACTTTCTAATGTGCTGATGTAAACTTGCAACTTTTTTTTCCCCCTTTGATTTTCGTGTTTCCTGGGATACAAGACCAGCCCGGTTGATTGTGCAACCGAGCTATTTTCTGAGTTCTGACCACAGAGTCAGATTCCCTGAAATATGTCCTTAGAGACATAGATCTGTTGGAGCGTGTTCAGAGAAGGGCCACGAAGATGATCCAGGGGCTGGAGCACCTCTGCTACGAGGACAGGTTGCGGGAGCTGGGACTGTTCAGCGTTGAAAAGAGAAGACTTCGGGGGGACCTAATAGCTGCCTTCCAATACCTGAAGGGAACCTACAGGAAGGCTGGGGAGGGACTTTTTACAAGAGTGTCCACTGATAGGACAAGGGGAAATGGGTTTAAGTTGAAGGAGAACAGATTTAGATTAGATCTTAGGAAGAAACTCTTCAGTACGAGGGTGGTGAGACTTTGGAATAAATTGCCCAGAGAAGTTGTGGATGCCCCCTCCCTGGAGGTGTTCAAGGCCAGGTTGGACGGAGCCTTGAGTAGCCTGGTCTAGTTGAGAGGCGTCCCTGCTCCTGACAGGGAGGTTGGATTAGATGATCTCTAAGGTCCCTTCCAGCCTATACCATTCTGTGATTCTAAATAAGTTCCTAGGCCACAAGATTTTGAACTTTCCATTCAAGGCATTCAAATAACGCTTGTATGTACTGGCAAAGAGTATTACAAAGTGGCTGGGAGCAGTAGTAACTCACTTCAGCTTTTAATTCAGGGACCAGCTGACTGCACAACATCACTGTTCTTCCACAGCACCTCCACCAGTTCAAGACATTTTTGTTGCAGTTACAAGTCTTTCTGAAATCTGCCTGAAAATTTCTCCTCTTAGCATCTTACTTGACAAGAAATTTTTACTAGATGACAGTACATTCTTACTCTCACAGGTACCTGGCGGAAAGAAGGGAAGGAGTCAGGGCATCCAGAGTGCCACTTGGAGGCTGGAAGCTAGACCCAAGGTTGAATAGTTTGTGTCATGGTTTGATGTGGAGGATGTGGAGGGGGTGGGGGTTCTGGTGGCAGAAAAAAGGCGGCGTCGGAGCCAGCTGGGGAACTCGGGGGCACCCCACTCCCGGGGTGCCCACTGGGCTGAGTTCACCTGGAGAGGACTGAGATCTGAGAGAAACAGCCGCATCGACAGCAGGTCAGTGAGGATGGAGCGGGAGGAGGTGTGCCGGAGCCGAGTTTCCCCTGCGGCTGATGGTGAGATAGCAGGCAGCCCCCTGCAACCAGGACGGCCTCGGTGGAGCAGAGACCCACTCGCAGCCCGTGGGGAGAAGATGCCTGAGCCTGAGGATGGTCGTGTTGGGATGCACAACAAGGCAGAGAGGCATCTGGAGTCTTCGTGACAACCCACGCCGGAGCGAGTGGCCACAGCTCCCTAAGTACCCGAGACTGTGGTAAAGCCCACACCGGAGCAATCTGTGGGGAAGGATTGTTTCCAGTGGGCTGGACTCACGCTGGAGAAGTTTGTGGATTTTTCCTCGTGGGTAGGGGATCCATTGGAGCAGGGGAAAAGGGTGTAAGGACTCCTTCTCCTTTAAGAAAGAAGCAGCAGTAACAGCACGGAATGAACTGACCTGCACTCCCCCAGTCCCTGCCCCCTGTGCTGCTGAGGGGAGGAGTTAGAGCCGGGAGGAAAAGGAAGGGGGGGGGGGAAGGGGTCAGTTTTAAGATCTGATTTTGTTTCTTTCTGTCCTCTCAAGTAATCGTTTTTTGTTTCCCTTTGTCCTTCTAAGTAATCATTAATAAACTGTTTTGCTTTGAGAAAAGCCCTGTCTGTTTTGCCCAGGACCATGGTTGGTGGGTGCTCCCTCTGTTCTTGTCTCAACCCTCAGTCCCTTTGTTTTTTTTTTCTCTCCTCTCTACTTTACTGGAGAAGGAGAGACTGTGTGAGTTTTAGTTGCTGGATCAGCCTAAAACCACGACACCTGCTTTTAAAAAAGTTGCTAAATACACAGAAAGAAGAGCTTACAGATGGAAACCAAAGCAGGACTAATAATGCATGGGAATCATGTTGCAGGAAACACTTACCTGTGTGGCCCAGGTATATGGGAATTGTACTCCACCTGTACTTCTGTGAGATCTACCCATGAATTTAAGTATCTGGAGTGATAAGGCTTCCTTAAAAGGATTCTTAAATAGCTAACAAAAGCACACTACTCAGAATCCATCAAAAGATGTCTAGGATTTTAAAATTTGTAGTTCTCAGTGAAAAAAGAACAAAAAAAATTAATTTCATAGCACATTATAATCTTTCCATCAACCTATGTCCTATTAATATTCTGCAGATGTCAAACAGCTCTCTTCTACTGTCTCGCAGATTTCATAGATTCTGTCTGTACAAATAAATAAAACTGAGTCAGGTTTGAGATGGTATCACAATTATGGTCTGTAATATGTATCATGATTATAGCCTGTTATGACTGCACACACAGTTGTTGGCGTGGTTCTTTACACAGTTCTGGCCGATGTCTGGCCGATGGGCTGCCCAAATGGAGTTTGGCACAAACAGCACATGACAAGGACCATTTCACACAAGCAGTTTTGATATTGCCTCCTTTTGGGGGAGAAGAGAGTACAGGCATGTGAATGTGAGCTAGGCTACGTCATTTTGATGTCAGAGTCAGTGAACAGTTCTTGACATCTATTATTTACCACTACACTCTTAGTTCAGGGACCAATGAATGATCTCCATCTCATCAGAGAAGAGATCTGTTGGCTTCTCAGATGCTGATAAAGCATTTCTTTCAAGTTTCTAATTGATTAGTGAAAGTATAACCATCTATAGTTTCATGGATGTTTTGCAGCCAGTATAAGAAGTTCCAGCCTCCATGTTATGTCTTACTGCTTTTAACATTGGTTGGTAGCTCAATGTTACAGATCCATAAATTGAAAATAAAATGTGATCATAGTTACAACAATGCTATCACTTAAAGACAATTTTGGAAAAAATGAGTTTTTCTGAGGATTTTTATAAAGCTGTGGAGCTTGGAAAAGATATATAAATGAGGCTGCAAGTCTCTGACATGTAAAGTGAACATATTACTGGAGGAGGAGGAGAAGTACTGGATGAAAAGGTTAACGTTTGAAGAAATAAAAGTGTGAAAATTATTTTAGATTTTGAATTGAGCAGTGAAACTGGTATCAAAAAGGAAGGATATATATTTATATTAATGATGCTTTAAAACGTTATGCAATAATCTAATTTATGCCATTGCAATAAATTCCTGTTTGTCAATTAAGAAAGGAACACTGCCAAAAAGCAGACTAATTCCTCATTTAAAGTGAAGATGATATGAATAATTACCATATTTGGCCAGAAAAAGGGAATTCTAGTTCATTAAAAACTGTAAGTTTAGAAAACAGGTTCTGTTCTGGGGAGAAGTCCCGAGAAAAGCCCATACAGAGAACACAGCTCATGGCCTGGTGCTTATGGCTGTCATCTGCTCTGTGGATGGCTGAAGTCCAGCCCCTATTATGTAGGTAACATGCAGAACATTTCAGTGAATAAGCATATGTTGAACAACTCCCAGAGAGCACCAACTGGTTTAGCTGTTGTTCCCGTGTAGAGATCAATTCTCCTGCTATTGTCTAAGAAGCAAAATGTCAATTTGTCATTGGGTAACATAGAGTTGATAGTTTACACCTGTAGAATGAAGACACAGAAGATAAAATCATCAAGGCAATTCTTTCCTATAGTCGGCCCTATACTGTTGTTCACACCTCTTGTGTTTCTAGTCACTTA